TCTCCTTCTATTTTCAATGACAGCCTAGCTGGATATAGTAGTCTTGGCTGCATATTTTTCTCATTTAGTGCTCTGAAGATATCATGCCAGTCCTTTCTGGCCCGCCAGGTCACAGTGGACAGGTCTGTTGCCAATCTAATGTTTCTACCACTGTAGGTTACAGACCTCTTAACCCGAGCGGCTTTCAGGATTTTCTCTTTGTCTCTGAGACTTGTAAGTTTTACTATTAGATGTCGAGGTGTTGACCTATTTTTATTGACTTTGAGGGGGGGTTCTTAGTGCCTCATGGATTTTGATGCCTGTTTCCTTCACCAAATTAGGGAAGTTCTCTGCTATAATTTGCTTCAATATACCTTCTGCCCCTCTCTCTCTTTCTTCTTCTTCTGGGATCCCAGTTATTCTAATATTGTTTCATCTTATGGTATCACTTATCTCTCAAATTCTGCCCTCGTGATCCAGTAGTTGTTTATCTCTCTTTTTCTCAGCTTCTTTATTTTCCATCATTTGGTCTTCTATATCACTAATTCTCTCTTTTGCCTCATTTATCCTAGCAGTTAGAGGCTCCATTTTGGATTGCACCTCATTAATAGCCTTTTCGATGTCGACCTGGTTAGATTTTAGTTATTTCTCCAGAAAGCGTTTCTCTAATATCTTCCATGCTTTTTTCAAGCCCAGCTAGTATCTTTAAAATCGTAATTCTGAACTCTAGTTCCGACATCTTAGTAATGTCCAGGATGTCCGTACTGATTAGGTCCCTGGCAGTTAGTACTGCCTCTTGTCCTTTTTTTTGAGGTGATTTTTTCCATCTTGTCATTTTGTCCAGAGGAGAATAGATGAATGAGAGAACAAAATGCTAACAGGGTAACAACGACCCCAGAAAAATATACACTGAACAAATCAGAAGAGACCTGAAACCACGGAAAAGAAAGGGAAAGAAAGAAAAAGGAAAAAAGAAAAAGGAAAAGAAAGATTAAAAAAAAACAAAACAGAATATGATCAAATATGATCAGGCTGGTGCACAGATTAGTGCCACACACTAGATTTGGGCAAATTTTGGTCTGTTAGAAGAAAGTGCCTCCCAAAATTTTAAAGAAAGAAAAACTTACATATGTACAAAAATAAGGGTAAATACAATGAAGGGATGGAATATGACTGTAAAGATGAAAATTATAAAAGATTTTATAGAAGGAATTGATAAGTTGGTTGAAAAAAGGAAGAAGAGGATTAAAAAAAAGGGGGGGAGAGAATGTGATCAGGAAGGAAACTGGAACAAAGCCATACACTAGAGATTTAGGGTATATTTTGGTCTGTTAGAAGAAACTGTATCCCAAAATTTTAAAGAAAGAACTTATATATACATACCAAAAATAAGGTTAACTACTATGAAGGGATAGAACATGACTCTAAAAATGAAAAATAAAAAAGATTTTTTAAAAAAGGGATTGATAAGATGTTGGTTGAAAACGTAAAAAGAAGAAAAAGAAAAAGAAAAAAATTTTAAAAATTTACTTTGAAAGACTAAAGAATCATGGGAAAACAGCCATGAATTCTATGTGCAGTATTCCCCTAGCGCTGGAGTTCTGCCGTTCTCATTGATCAGTAAACTTCGTCTTGGCTGGCTGTTCGTGATGATCTTCTGGGGGAGGGGCCTGTTGCCATGGTTCTCAGATGTCTTTGCCGGCTTATGGGTAAACTGTGACAGTGTAAAGAGATGCGGTGAGTAATGAGAGGCAAAACTCAATGGAGACATAAAAGGGCACCAGGCAGTGCTGAACGCCCCAGTGATGCTGGAGACCATGATTCAGGAAAAGAACGAACCCACGTGAGTGAGAAAGTTTTCAGCATGAGGGGGAAGGCCGGGAAAACGGACAATTACACTGATTAGAGTTGCAGTTCTGCCAACCCAGGAGCAGAGGAGAGAAGTGGGAAGAGTTAGGGACACAGCTAACAGGCTGCTGCGGGGAGAAGGGGCCATGGATGGAGACCAAAGAGCAACCTTCGTAAAACTGAGGATAGAAAAGAGCAGGGTAAAAAAGGAAGTGTGGTCAAACAAATCGTTTTACATACTGTTAATGGTGCAGTTGGGGGGAACAAGTGGAGGGAAGGAAGACGAACAGGGGCCCATGAAGGAGCAGACAGGGCCCCGGCAGACAAGAGCACAGAGGAGGTCACCACACAGCCAGAAGGCAGCGGGGCCTTCAGGGAATGAGGACCCAACTTGAGGGTCCTCACCTCACACAAACCCCAAGAAAGATGACATGCAGGCAAGAGTGAGGTCAACTCTAAGTTGCTCCAGAAATGTCAGATATTCTTGGCAGTGGCAGCGATACCACTGTTATCTTCATCGTGAGGACTACTTAGATCATGTTCCCTTTAAGAGACAAGCTCTGTATCTGAAGATCTCACCAACAGCTACCACTAACAAAATCAATAAAGCACCGAACCTCGTACTCTGAAAATAGACTAGTATTGCAATGTAGTTCGCTTGTTATTCTTAAGTTAATGCTATGAAAACTTCCTTCCATCTCCATAAAAGAAAACATAAACTGGCATGCCTGGAGAGTAGTAATCTTGATAGATTTCTCCTGTTTCCTCTGACTTCAGGGGTACAGAATGCATTCTGAATGTTTTATATTTCGAGGTTTCTTTTTCTGCTACTTTAGCTGGTTGATCCTCTGACAGTGTGACAGCTTCATATTCTTGCTCTTCATATTTTTGAAGTCTAATATGACAAAGAAAGTAAGACACTATGGTTAACAGACTCTAGGACTCAAAGTTTAAATCCTTATACTGTACTTTACAATACAGTATCTATCCTTTCAAGCAATTTTTGATACACTTTAAAAAGCAGATCTGGGGGCACCTGTGGGGCTCAGTCAGTTAAGTGTCCGACTCTTGATCTCAGCTCAGGTCTTGATCTCAGGGTTGTGAGTTCAAGCCCTGTCCTGGGCTCCATGCTGGATGCAGAGCCTACTTAAAAATTAAAAAAGAAATTTTTTTAATAAATGAATAATAAAAAATATAAAAAGCAAATCTGAAACATGGAGAGTCTAGTTAAATGCAAAAGGGGTCTGATATTATCATGGAAATTTTAACGCTGGAAAGGACTTAAGAATCCTCATCTAACTTAAAAGATGAAGAAATATTAACCAATTAGCAGCAGAGTGAGGTCAGAATACAGTTTTTTGAAATTCAATACTCATATATTACCCTTCTTTATAAAACCAACACCAACAACCGCCCTTATCAAGACTAAAACCATATTTTGCAATACATTAGCCAACTGCCTATTTGTAAATGTTAGAAAACCTTTTCATAAGAACAGAATCCAAAATCAGTGCCTAACAGCTGACTTACGCCATAGACCGTATTTTTGCAAGGTGGAGGAAATGCAGAGCTCTGTAGATCCTCACATGCTGCTCAGTGGGCAAAACTACCCATTGGTATATTAAACAAAAATCCTTAGTCACATGAATAAGAAGGCAAACTTTCTCTTCAAAGAAAGAACACGACTTCTTAATACTTGTTCATGGATACCTTTATTAGGTATTCTTAAACCCTTCTCCCTTGAGCATTCTGAGTCCCCTTTGGTTTATAAACACCTTGAACAGTTTCCTCTTTGTTGAAATGTCTAATCCATATCCTTTTTTTTTATAGTGAATTGTATACCATTTTCTTAACAATGTTCAGAAGTTCTTTTCACATTTTATAATCTTTTGTGATTTTACATGTGCTGAAAACCTCTTCTGGTTTGGACTCAACTTCTCACTTTCTTGATGAAGTCTTCATAAATCTAAGTTCTTCACTTTAATATAACCTAATTTATCTATCTTTGCATCTATAATTTGTGTTTATTCTTTTTTTTTTAAAGATTTTATTTATTTATTTGACAGAGAGAAACACGGCGAGAGAGGGAACACAAGCAGGGGGAGCAGGGGAGGGAGAAGCAGGCTTCCCGCCGAGCAGGGAGCCTGATGCGGGGCTCGATCGCAGGACCCTGGGACCATGACCTGAGCCGAAGGCAGATGCTTAACAACTGAGCCACCCAGGCGCCCCTACAATCTGTGTTTATTCTTAAGAAATCTGTCCTTACTTCAATCTTGACAAAACTCTTACTTTTTTACAAATAGTTTTAAAGTTTTGCCTTCCACAAGTCTTATAATTCATCCTTGAGTTTGGGGTATGATGTGAAGGGCAGATCCAATTCTCCCCGCTCCCACCCCATAACGATATGCAGTAGTCACCACGTATTACTGAACACCCCCATCCTTTCCTTCCCCGACCTGTAACTCCAGGTATACAATTGTATACAAGTCTGCATCACTCCAACCATATACAAGTACCCACCTCTGGTTCTTTATTTTTAGTTGTCTATCCTTGTTTTTCTATCCCACTGCTTTAATTGCTACAGTTGTCACAGCTGTAGGTTCATCCCTCCAAATTTTTTTCGTAAAGAGTGCTTACATATCCTTGGCCTTTTGCTTTTCCATATAAATTTTGTTGCATTCTCAATTAAATTTTGTAATTTTCTCCACAAAGGCCAAACACACGATTTTTCCTAGGTACTGGGTTTTTCATTATTACAAATGGTAGTTATGATTAAAATTAAGTTTTCGATCTATTGCTGGACTATAGAAACACAATTCACTTACATACACTGATTTTAATCTAGCAGCCTTGCTAAGTTAAATTAACTTATTAATTACAAAACTGTAAATTCTTTTGTACTTTCTTACTAGACATCGTATCATCTAAAAATGATTACGGTTTGTTTCTCCTTTTTCAAACCTTCCAGCTTTCATCTTTTTTCTTGTCTTATTGACTTAGGACCTTTAATAGGATGTCACACAGAAGTGGCAATAGCAAGTATCCTTGTCACTTTTCTCAACTTACAAAGGAACACTTTTAAGACTTGACCATTAGACATACTTGCTTCAGGTTTTTGGTAAATGCCCTTAATCATGTAGTTTGCTAAAGGTTTTTATCATTAAGAGATAATCCATATTATCAAATGCTTTTCTTCCTTTACTATATTAATGGTAATTGGTATTGATGCACTTTCTAATGTTGAACCAACCTTGCATTTTTGAGATAAGCTATTCAGTTTGATCTTGGTGTATCATCCATTTTTATATGCTACTGTAACCTGTAGGTTAGTATCTTATTTAGGGTTTTCTGCTTCTAAGGTTATGAACGAAACTGACTTAGAAGATTGTATAAATGGGGGCACTGGGTGGCACAGTGGGTTGGGCATTGGATTCTTGGTTTTGGCTCAGGTTGTGCTCTCAGGGTCATGAGACTGAGCCCCAGCTCAGGCTCCGAGTTCAGCACAGAGTCTGCTTAAGTTTCTCTCTCTCCCTCCCGTTGCCCCCGCCCAATGTGTGTGTGCAATTTAGGGACAATTTTCTCTTTTTTCTGTTCTATGGAAGAAGTTTATAAGATTGGAATTATTCACTTCTTTAATTTGTTAGAACTCATAAACTCAGAAACTCTGGAAATCTGCCTGAGCCTAATATGTGTGGTCTATGGGGGGAGGGGAAGTTGGGGAGGCAATCATGATTCATAACTACAAATTGAACAATTTTAGTGGATAAAAAGGAATGAAATCTTGCCATTTGCAATGATGTGGATGGAACCAGAGAGTACTATGCTAAGCAAAATAAGTCAGAAAAAAACAAAGACCATATGATTTCACTCATGTGGAATTTAAAAAACAAATGAAATGAGCAGAGGGGAGCAAAAAAGAGAGAGAGGCAAATCAAGAAAGAGGCTCTTAACTGTAGAGAACACAGTGAGGTACCAGAGGGGTGAGGGTGGGGGGGTGCTGGGTGAGACAGGTGATGGGGATTAAGGAGAGCACCTGTCCCAATGAGCACTGGGTGTCCTTTGGAGGTGCTGAATCACTATACTGTACACCTGAAACTACTGTAACACTGTATGTTAACTAGAATTTAAATAAAAACTTAAAAAAGTTCACCTTGCCTACTACTTATTGAGCCTATTTTGTTCATACTTTTCTTAAAACGCTGACATTTTGTTTCAGACTAATTACCATGAAATAGTTAATTTTCTCTTTTTAACTGCAGACCCTTCTGTGCTGACGGAGCTCCCATCTCCCACCCCCTTGGTAGTGGTTACAGAGCCACTGCCTGGCACTGCTCCGCTCCCCCTGCTTTAGGAGGCAGTACATAGAGAGAACACACGCTAAGTGGAGCTTCCTAGAGCTGTGCAATGCACAACCCTAACCGTCCACTGGTGACTTCCTTTTTCCTGCTCCATTCTGTCAAAGATCTGCCGACTGTTCGACAGCGGCTGCTTTTCCTGATTTCCTCTCTCTTTGATTTCTATTTTGTTAATTTCTGATACTGCTTATCTCCTTCCCTCGATTTTGTTTTGGTTTAGTCTGTTGAGGTTTTTCTCCTTAACTTCCTGGAATGGATTGTTACCTCATTAATTTTCCAACTTATCTTGCTTGCTAATGTAAGCTGTAGACTGTAAATTTCTCTCCGCACAGCTGAATCGGCTACACCACACCACCTGTAAGTGCAACAGGATTAGCCGGGCAAGTTCAACTCCTTCTTCTTTGTTTCTTGCTTTTCTAGACTCAGTTCTATATTGTTTCCTCCTGGGGCAGGGCTCTTTCAGAAAAGTGTCTGTTTTTCAGACATCATATTTCCAAATGTAGACTGGTTTTCAAGTCAACCTCTTGTAACTGATGTCTACTGTGATTAAGAAGTACATGATCTATTGAGATATTTTGAGAATTTGTTTAAACAAGTTTTATGGTCTGCAATGGTGAAGTCTTGTAATTGTTCCCTATGACCCAGTAGAGAATATGGAAGCATCTTTTTACTTTTCATCTGTTGGTACCCTTCTGCTTTCTAAGATGTTTCCACACAAGCATTAATCCAGTTTGACATTAAAAAAAAGACCAAAGTGTAGCCCATTTGCATTTACTGCGATTACAGGTATTTCTGGAAGTTATTTCTATCACCTTATTTTTGTCTCCTACGTATCCTCCTTCTTACCTTTACTCTCCTCCTTTCTATCCCTACCTTTCCCTTTTTCCTTCTGGAGAACTTTCTCAGCTTTATCTTTCACCTATTCTCTCAATCTCCATTTCTGTTATCATATATTTCATTTCCAAAAGCTATTTTTTTCCTCCAGATGTCCCCTATTTTTTATTCTCTTAATGCTAGTTCTTCTGTCACCTGACAGCCCAGGATAGCCTTGTGCTGGTTGTTACTGAACTTTTCTTCTCCCTCCATGGTCTATTTTCTCCAGGCTTCTATGATTTGAGTTTCCGTCAAGCTATAAACTTTCCTCAAACGATCATGGGTCATCTGCTCATATTTAAGAATCATCACTGAGACAGCAATGAGACCACTCTTCATGCACTGGTGCAATCTGTCAACTGGTAGATTTCACTGTGGGATATCTGAGGCTTGGTTGAGGTTTTCCCAAGTGGCCTTATCGATCGATCTTTCCTGTTGGCTGGCCAGATTCCCATAGGATAATATGCTTCGGTTCTGGCTGTGAGCTTCCTAAAAGTCCAGCACAGGAAGAATACTAAGGTTCCCTATGACTTGGGTACAGTAATGTACTCTCAGCTGTTTGGTGTCCCCACATCCTGGATGTCTTCTGTTGGAATGAAGGAAGAAACATTCTCCTGGCTGAGTGAGATTAAGGAAGGGGAGCTGCGTTCTGTTTCTTCTACAAACTGTCAGGTTACTACTTTCACTGCCACTGCCACTTTGAGAGGATCCTTAGAGGTGGGAGGTCAGATGGCAGCAGGATGAAGCAGCTGCTTCCGGGCTTCACTCTTCCACCTTCAGTTTGCACTGTCTGCTCTGCAAAATCAGTAATCACTTATCCTTCTGTTCCCAAGCTTCCAAAATGACACGGGCAGCTCCCATGTGTTTTCCTCTTTCCTTCTCTTGTGGGTTTACTCCTTCTTGATCACTTGGTGGGATTTCAGGAAGGAGAGCAGTAAGAGCATGAGTTCAACCCATCAGGTTTAAATAGGAGTCTGTTTCTTCAAGTACTCCCTCACTCCATTATTTTCTTCCTGAGTGGATGCTGATCCACAGAGAGGAATGTGAAGAAGGAAGAAAGCACATGAATCTCTCCAACCTCTTCTCCGTCTGCTTACACCTAATCACCTTTGGCCTTCCCAGGGTTTTTCAGCTGTTGGTTAACTTCTCATTTCCAGCAACTCCTGTCTCACATTTTTGGCATATCCATGACTGGTCTGAGAAGGAGCCAGTGTTAATCTGCCCTTCTTGTCAGGAACCCCTCCCTAAGGTTTGCTAAATTCCAGAACCCTCATCCATTCCTCACATGACACTGTACGTTCTTCATTGTCAGAATGGCTTACCACTAGTCATATATTGTTGAAATTTTAATTTTATTATATCTTATTTTACCTTGCTTTTGTGTAGCTTTTCTCCTTGTCCATGTCTGGATTTACTGTTGTCAAATCGATGGGTATACTTTCGATATTTTTTTCTAAACAGAACTATGAAGTAACAGCCTGTAAAAAAAAATGTTCACGTTACTTTTTAACATAAAAGATGCTTTCACAGATATGACTATTGGTTTCAAAACTGCATATATGGTTCTGAACTTCCCACTAGGCTTAACTGAATATCTCCATTACCTTCAAGTGTTTCCTCCATAGAGTGTACTTTCCAGACCCTTCACTATGCTAGTTATTCTTCTCACGCAGCCTCCATATTGTCTACCTTCCTCTCTAATGCAAGGTTTTCTTTCTTACATTGATGGGTTTATGTACATACAATTCTAATTTACCTTAAATTCCATCCTGAAGATAATGCTAAGTTTTAAGATCCTCTCCTCAGGGAAAATCATCAGAAAGAACATAGGGAAGTCAATAGAACTGGTGGCCTAAGCTGTTAAATTCATTTCACCACATTCACTAAGTACTAAAAGGCCAGATCCATATACTACCAGCATTCTTCAGACAGAACAGAACAAAAGGGAGTGGGTTTTGAAATATGAAAAAGAAGCGTTCTCTTTCTGATTACTGAGGGAAATCTAACAAGGCCCAGAAAGCCTCCAAATAAAGAAAATGTGCTGCACAGGCATGGAAGTATAACTAAAGACGCCAAGATGTAGCCTAGAAAAAGCTTTAATTGTCAAGTGAATAAGCATCAGACAAATCCAATATGACAGACTGAAATAGGCCAGAGGCAAGAGGAGTTCTTCCTGGAATAGAAATGATAGAAATTTCCACATCAGAAATGAAGCCAACAACACTATCAATGCAGGACTGGTCTATCAGGTGATGAGACTCAGGGTGTAGAAAGGGTCCCAATCAGACCCAAAGGTTGCCAAAAATGGCCACAGAAGGATCATTTACTGCAGCCAGGAACTGAAGGCTACAACTCTGGGGCCCATGCTTGAGACAAGGTTCAGATCCAAGGGACATTCCCACTACATTCAAAAGCATCCCTGAATCAAACACATTTTGGATTTACAACAGAGTAGAGGTCAGAAGAATTCTTCTGAAGAAAGGCCAAAGAGTAAATACTTTAGGTTTGTGGACCAGAGGGCAAAAATCAAAGATATTACACATTATTCATACAGCGAGAGAAAACAAATTTCCACAAATATTTTATTGATGAAATTCAATATGACAATAATTGAATACAATTTTTAAAAATACTCCTATATATTAATGAAGAACACAGAATTCTTTTGAGAAGGGTAACATGTTACATACTGGGATTCAAGGTGTTATCATTAAATTGCTTGCCATTATTCCTTTATAAACACCATTCTTAGCTTGCAGACCTAGAAAAACAGGTGGCAGACCAGATTTGACCAATGGACCATCATATGCCAGCTCCTACAAGAGAGTATATGTTCATTGCAACATCTACTTTAACTTTGGAGTAGCTTGTATTTCCATGCTATCATCATCACTACCAAACATCCAAAAAAAAAAAAAAGAGAGAGAGAGAGAAAAGTTTTTTGTTCTCACTATTAATCAAATGGTATAAAAAATCAAATGAGTTATTCTTTTTTCCTATCAGACAAGTGAAAAAATCAAGTTAACCTCACACTTCTTCACAGCAACATACAAATGCCAGAACATTTCCTCAGGAGAAAAGAGTGGCTTAGGAAGTTTATACATAGCCAAGTTTTCATGTAAGTATGAAGCTAACAAATATTTTCACACATGCAAAATTCAGTAAAGATATCATCCATGAACCCTTCTTGTAAGATGTACGTGATAATAAATTCTACCCTCACATGATAAAGGCAAAATATGGTAATAAAGAAAATAATAAGAGCATTAAATTCATTTAAGTACGGAAGTAGGTGAAAACAACTATAGGGCTTCTGATACAGAGCAGAACTTTGATAGTATAGAAATAACAGTGTAAGTATTAATCAAGAGGGGAGAAGAGGAGGTAAGTGGAATATACAGAACATAAGCGCTCTTCATCTTTCAGATACACAGAGCTCAATAGATACTACTTAAATGTGATAAATAAAATAACAGAAGTTTAACTATATTATTTAAAAGTATAAAGGTACCCATAAAAAGAACTGTAATTATAACATATGGAATAAACATTAGGGGGTATGAGGTATCAGATAAAAAGTAAATGCATTAATTATGTTCTAATTTCTTCATTTCACAATGTAGAGCCAACAGATGCTACCTAAAGTGCATAGATCACAAAACAAAGGTTGAAATATATATGACATTATAAGTCTAGAAGAACTAAAATGATGCATGAACCTTCCCAAATATCAGAAGCAAAACATAACTATGTATTTACACAAAACAGGGATTTAAAACATCAAAAAAAAAAAGGACAGCTGTGGTTGACTTTAGTAGGTTGCCTACATAATATTCATTCCCTCCTTCCCTTTCCGAAACAGTACTCTGACTTTTATTCAGGTAGATCTGAAAAAATTGTCAAAAAAGGGATAGAGATGGAAAAAATGAAAGGACAGGTTAAATAGTAGACAGGAGAGAATGACAAATTTGACATTAATACACATCAAAAGTCTGGAAGAAGAGAGGAAATGGGGAAAATAATGACTGAGTTTTCTGGACACGAACCTACAGTTCCACAGAGTCCCGCAAATTCTAGGCAGGATGAAGATACAAGTGTACATATGCACGTGGACACACACACCCCCTCCAACACAGGGGAACTGTAGAACACCAAAGGCAAAGAAGAGATCATAACAGCAGCCAGAGACAGATTAAAGTGAAACACAGACTAAGTACGGGCTTTGTGAAACGGGCGCAAGCACACGTGTACACACACACGCACACACGCAAACTAAAACTGATATAACCTCTCCAGTGTGCTATGGAAAAATAACTGTCAACTTAGAAGTCTATACCTGGCAAAAATGTTTTTCAAAGATGAAGGCAAAGTAAAGACATTTCAAGCAAATAAAATCAACTGACATACATAAAATGTACTGTAAAGGACTTCAAAAAGAAGGACTATGATCCTGAGATGACAGGTCTAAGATGTAAGAAATTATCAGAAGTAATGAATATGTGTAAAGCTAAATAAACACTAACTGCATAAAAGAGTAATTACTTCTTGTGGGATTAAAAGTGAGAAGGCACTAAAGTACACGACAAACAATAGCACAGAGGTCAGGAGGAAGATTTTTGATTTTTCTGGAGGAAGATGGAAAATAATTAAATTTACACTTTGGTAAGTTAAGCATACATCTTAAAACTTCTATGGTAACCACAAAATTAGGTAGCAGAAATAAACCAAAACATATTAATAATTAGTCAATACAAATGTACCAAATTTTCTAAAAAGACAAAGACAGAAAAACGGGGGGAGGGGGAATCCAGTTATATCTTATTTAAAAGACAAATCTATAAAACCAAAGGATACAAAAAGAATGCAAGAAAAGGATAGTAAAAAGATAGATCAGGCACCTATTAGGCAAAATAAAGATATTATAGCTATATTTCTATCAGAAATAATAGATATCAAGGCAGAAAGAGTCACTAGACATAAAGAAGTTCACTACATAATGATTAAGGTTTATTTCACCAGGAAAATAAGACAGTTCTGAACTTCCACCTAACAACATAACTTCAAAATATGTAGTACAAATATGTAACACGAAATACACAATTCAAAAACTGGCAGAATCATAAGGAGAAACAAATAAATACAGTAGATAATAGACCATTGTAACAAATTCATTTCAGTTAATCAGGCCAACCCCCTCTGCCACCAAAACAAAACACAAACAAAACCAGTATACAGACTTTAATAATCTAATTTTCAAGTCTGACTTAAGAAATACACTATGTACAACTCAAGAAGTGGAGAATGCATGTATTTTATAGTGCACATGCCACAGTTTCAAAATTAACCACCTACTGGGTCATAACGTAAGTCCCAACAAATTTCAAACACTTTATCATATAATCCAAATTCTATGACCACATTGTGATCAGATTAGAAATAAGGCAATAAAGAGTGAAATCCCATAAATCTGGAAATGAAGAAACACCTGTCGAAATAACTCATGGTTCAAAGAATCATAATGAAAATTTCAAAATATTAAGAACTAAAGGCTAAGATATTAAATTTTAAAACTTGTGAGATGCATCTCAAGAGGTACTTACAGGTAAATAAAAGCCTTAAACACTTAAACCAGAAGAAAGGAAAGACTACCGAAAGAAGTTAGAAAAAGCAAAACTTTATAAATCCTAAGAAAGTAAAAAGAAAAAAAGATGAGAGCAGGCCTCTGGACATCAACAAGGTAATGGGAGTAGGAGATACCACTCTGTCCCCCCCATAAAAAAGGACAAATAGACAGCTATCCATGAACAAAAATAAGCCTGGGAGAGCTGAAGAGTACAATTAAGAACTACAGCAATGCAGTGGGAGAAAAAGAGAATAACTCTAGAGAAAGGATCCCTGGGGAGACTGGCTGAGCTCAGAGGCTGACCAAGAACAAAGAAGAAGGTGGGCTGTCTGTATCAGTCACAGTGGAGCTGCCATCCAGTCCCCAGTGGCATGTTCTGCAGAGGACTCTGGTAGCCTTTGCCACTGAGGATCTCAGCAGCTCCTACAACAGCGCAGACTCCACACAGCGCTCCTGGTGGAGGATCCTCTAGTGTCTGTCACATGGACACCACCGTGCTGCTCCAGAGAGAACACCAGAAGCATTAGCTACCAAGATCACCAACAGGCACCACTGCCGTGGAACACCGAGAGGGAGACTCTGCTGCCCCAGGACCAGCACAGCCACACCCCAAGCCCTACACATGCCTTGGTTCCACACGTGTGCACACTTGAGACTCCATCTTCTGGGCTGCTCTGCACAGGCCCATGCTCTAAACCCTAGCCCCATGGCTGCTCTGCAGCATCTCCGTGGCAGGCCCTGGAGCCACCGCTGCTGGGGGGTAACGAGCCACGCAAACCCAGAGCTTCTGGTACCCCAGAAGTGCCAGACACCAGACACCAGTGTCACCACCACTACGAGGGCCCTAAGGACCCAGGCCCTGTGCCAAGAGGGATCTCCTCAACCATAACACCCTACACAGGGGGAAAAAGGACCAGGAATTCTCTAGCACACTTCACTAGCAAAGACCGTAATAGTCCCCACTGCCACTGTGAACACTTGCAGCCGTGCCCACTGAGAACCCCTAAAATCTACGCCAACACTGACCTCACTGAAGAAGCTACAGGGAAACTATGTTATGGGGTCTTCCCTAGAGCCAGAACTGCCACACCCCACTAAGCAGGTGCCTTTGCACCCACCCACAGATGGTCTGGAACCACCAAAACCAGTTCCTAATTCTGGAAGAGATGACTGCTCCATGAAATGCACAGACATCAATATAAAGCTACCACAGAAACACAAAAAATTAAGGAAACATGACACCACCAAAGGAATACAGTAATTTTCCACTCACAGGCCTCAAAAAATGGGAGATGTGTGAATTGCTGGACAAAGAATTCAAATGATTGTTTTAAGGAAGCTCAGTGAGCTACAAGAGAACACAGACAAACAAAATCAGGAAAATATGAGAACTGAAAGGTCAACAGAGAGAAAGAAATCATAAAAAGGAATCAAACCAATTCTGTAGTTGGAGAATACAATTAATGAAAAGATAATGCAGTAGCATCAACAGCAAACTTGATCAGGCCGAAGAAAAAAAAAATCTGTGAACTCAAAGACAGATCACTGAAATTATCCACTCAGAGAAAAAGGAAAAAGAATGAAAAAGATTAAAGAAAGCCTATGCAAATTGTGGGATACTATCAAGTAAAACGATATTAGGATATGAGAGTTCCAGAAGGAGAAGAGAGAGAAGAGCAGAAAGCTTTTTTAAATAATGGCTGAAAATTTCCCATATATGGGGAGGGAGAAAGGTGGGACCTCCAGGTGCATGAGGCTAATAAGTCCCCATAC